TACACACACACACACACATACACACACACACACACACACACACACACACACATAGATTTAACATTTTGGAAAACTGTTGGGTATTATTTGCTAAAGGTGGACACATACATATATTTGATCCAACAGCAGAAATGTGGACATGTGTGCATCTGACAACATGCAGGAATATACTGTAAATAGCAATATTTATACATACCCAAATTGAAAACATCAAATGTCTATCAACAATAAATGGATATATAAATAGTGGTATGTTCATATGATAGAATGCTGTGTAGAATGAAATTGAGTGAATCACTATTTCATAATTATATGGATGAATAGAATATAGAAATATAATATAAAATAAAAGTCAGACCTAAAAACAAAAGATAATATATGTATGACTTCATGCATATAAAGTTCATAAACAAGGTAATCTGGTAGAAAGTCGAGAACAAGGATACTTCAAGGGTGCTAGTAATGATCATTTCTTGATCTGGTTTGAGGTTAAATGGTTGCATTTATTGTGTGAAAATCAGAGCTGTACACTTATGTCATATGTGCCTCACTTTATATAGCTAATTTCAATGAAGCTATTTAAATCAAACTTATAGAGAAAAATTAAAGAAATGCTCCATTCTGTTGCTACTTATTTTAATTGTAATTTGAGTTTCATAATAGTGTTTAGAAGTGCTGAATATTTTTATCTACTTATTTAGCACTTAAACAGCTTAGAGATATTAAAGGATGTGATGACATATCTTAAAGTTTAATTTATTGGCCAGGATTATTATTTTTATTTATTTATTTATTTATTTTTATTGATTTCAGAGAGGAAGGGAGAGGGAGAGAGAAATAGAAACATCAATGATGAGAATCATTGATCAGCTGCCTCCTGCACGCCCCCTACTGGGGATCGAGCCTGCAACCTGGGCATGTACTCTTGGCTGGAGTCGAACCTGGGACGCTTCAGTCCACAGGCCAGTGCTCTATCTGCAGAGCCAAACCAGCTACGGCAGCCAGGATTATTATTTTTGTTGTTGTTGTTAATCCTCACCTGAGGATATTTTTTCCATTGCTCTTCAGAGACAGAGAGTGGGGGAGAGAGAGAGAGAGAGAGAGA